ATTAAATATATTTAAATAATTTTATACTAGTCTAATGATATGTTTTATAGGGCTCATGATACAGTTGGAGCAGTTGCTTTGGACTGTTATGGTAATGTGGCCTGTGCAACTTCCACTGGAGGAATCCGAAACAAAATGGTGGGCAGAGTGGGAGACTCACCAATAATCGGTAGGTAATTTGGAATATAATTTCTTTGGTTTGTCCTTTCCTGTCAGTTAATTCATGGTTTCTTTTTCAGCTAAATTAAATGAAAGATGGTTTGATTTGCAAGCTTTTAACAAAGCCATATGTAGTTCACCCCACCCCAGATGTGCCATCTGTGTTTGGGGTTTGTTCCTACTTTTAGAATCTGGCCCAAAGTCACAGAATTCAGAAGTTATGTTCATACATAAAAATCTGCCGCTGTCTTTGGACTCTGACGTGAGCAGCATGATATGAATTCTGACCTCATTCTTTTCAAGAACTATTTTTCAATTTTAATGCAGTGCATTTTATGGATGATGCCTCATCCTTGTGTGGAAATACACATAAGGAATCACTGTGCAATCACTCGGGCAGCTGGTCACTAGGCCCTCTTTATTTTTGCCTCGTGACACTAATTGCTTTCTTAAATTTTCCAATAGTGGATACAAATACTAAGATAAATTATCCATAAACACTTAAAGTAAAACTACATGGGACCTGCTACAAACCTATGTTCACAGAGAAAAAATGAGGCAGTCTCTCAAGGCGGAAAAGAAACACTCTCCAGGAGTCATGGACAGGAAATTAATGAGGAGCATTTCTTCTCCTGTATGCAGAGCACTGAATCCAAATTGAAACCTACCTTTTCAATTGCTTGAATTTGCCTTTCAGATTTCCATCCACACCAAACTACAATTTGATAGGCACATATGCCACAGAATTTGAAGGAGAGTAATCACTGTACCTTTGGCATTATAGTTGCGTATGCACACACGCCCTTATTTGTATTTCATACTTTGTTTGTTCTGTGATTATTTTTTTGGAAATTCTCTGAGGTGATCTTTGGTAGCAGTTAACATCCAATCCACAAAGATTGAGACAGAGGTTGGAGTCATACCATAAATATTTCCAGAAGAGTCTCCTGCAATTTTTATTTAATGTCTGACTTGCAAGGGATGGAACAAGCTTACCAGCTGTGAGGGAACATACTGCATGTCACCCATGTGCCAAGCTTTCAGTTTGAGAGATTAAAGCAGTAATGCTGGAGGACTCTGTGGTTCATCAGTTATTAATCTTAAAATGTATGGTTCATATTTAAACAGCAGGTAATTTAAGCACTTTGTGCTGTAGTTGTTAAGGAGCACAGTGTGCTGTAGTGGGTAAGGAACACAATGTGCTGTAGTGGTTAAGAAACAGGGCTCATAACAAAATGGCTGAAGGTTTGATTCCCTGCTGGTGCACTGCATATATGAAAATGAAATGTATTATATGGAGAAATATGTTGTTCAGTGCAACAATATATTGCAAGTACATTTAAATTCATTCATGCAAACCAGAAATATACCACAAATATAATATTGCAATAAACCACAACAGCAGCTATTTACATATTTTCAGTACAGTTATTGATCTAAAAACTATATTGTCTAAAATCTTAATAAATTATTTTTATGGGGTGCAGTTGTAGCCTTGAGAAAGATACTTGCTAAGCTACAAGATACTACATTTCTTCAGTAAGTATTCGATTGTGTATGGAGAAATTGTAAAATCTAAGCTTTGTGAGTCATGGATAAGTGAGCCTCAGCTTAGTGGATATCCATTTTTAAACCAATTAATGTAAAGGAGTCAAAATCTGTGTCATCTGAATTCAGCATTTTACTTTAATGTTCCTTTGCCACTGTACATCAAAAAGCAAAGCAACACGAGTAGGAGCCAAAGCAGGCTGACCAGGTACAGGTTGCTTTTCCTCTGTAGAAATGAACTTCCTTGCATAACATTACTGTAACAGCTGGAACATGTCCAGACTGAGAAGGCTGCTTGGATGTTTTCTGCACTCAAAGCCTGAGGTTTTCCAATAGAAAGTGGATTCCGTTTTACTAGTTTTTTTGTTTACTGTCTTCTCCCATGTTGCTGGCTGACAGTAGGAATGAAGTTACTACTTGTTGACTTTGCTCATAGCTCAAATGAACGTAGACCAGAACATGTCACAGCAGGCTGACCGGACAGCCAACTACATGACAAAAAAGATAACTACACAAAACTCGGAAAATGAACTGACCAGGTCAGCCTTCCTCTAGCTTATCAGTGAAGAAAAGTGTAATATGCACAGCATTTGAAAAAAAAAATTAGCATGATTGTTTTTCTCTGTAGAGGAAAGTTATGTTTATGTCAAAGTTATGTTTTGGTAATTATGGTTTGGTATTATGGTAGTTAGGGACATTATGTTTTTCTGGATTTGTCTGTGAAACAGGATGTGGTGGGTATGCAGATAATCATAGTGGCGCTGTCTCCTGCACCGGCCATGGAGAGTCCATAATGAAAGTGACTTTGGCCAGCCGTGTCATCTTCCATATGGAGCAAGGTAATGCCTACTGTTACCATCCTTATCTCTTATTTATGTGTGGGTAGTGAACAATGCACATTTCTCAGGAACATGCACATTGTGTAACCTTCAGAATGTAATAATACTCTCGCTCCCAAGACTCCTGTGGTCAACAAACCTTTCATCATTGCTGTTGACATGTGGTATGAATGTAGCCCGTGGGTGATAGCTAATCTGGCTGTTTTAATGGTAAAAACAGCTCTCGTGTGACTGAAATCTCTGCTGCAATGTTCCGTCTCATTTCAAAAATAATCTTTGTGAGGCGGTGTACATCAATTCATTATAATGGCTTTGTAAGTGGTTTTATGAAAGGATATGAATTTGCACAGATGTAGGACTTTGGTCCATCAAGTCAAATAGGATTCTCGCATTCAGAGCCAAACCTCTGGAGACATTAAGCAAATATGCAAGAGATAAAAGTGACAGAGATAAGTGATAAAAGATTGGCTGCAAGGATAAAATCTCTTCTGTTGCTAGTTTTTTCCCAATATTTTTGGATTATATAAATGTGTCAGCATTATTTAACAATTAATTTGTTTCACCTATGTTTGGATGTTTAATTTCGTAGTATTTTGTGCTTTTGGTGTGACAGACAGTGTGCATCACGGTGATAGGCAGGAAGTGAATATTACTATCATTGTGTTCTTGTGAAGATCAGAACCTCTGTGGAGAGTGGCACGGGGCAGATTAGCAAGATAAATGGAAGGATTTAATCCGGTTTGTTTGCTGTGCAGGTAATGGATTGATGTACCCCTGTCTGACGGCTTCCTCGTTCACAGCACCCTGTCTGAAACCTAAAACCACCATACAAATCATCGAGAAAGCAGAGCGCAAGGAAACAAAGCAGTGTACAGCTGCCCTCTGGGAATGGCTGTATTTATTATCAATTTATGAGATCCCAACTGGTGACTCAGGATGGCCCTCTCCTGTATTTGGACTAAAAATGTATTAAGCCGATGTAATTGTTGCGCTTTACCGAGACATTCCATCAGCAGCCATCCAGCAGCTCAGGGTTCCCTTCGTAAGTGTGACATGATGGATTGCCACATTTTTTTGCATTGTTCTGAAATTTAATTATCCTCCTCTGGCGAGAACCAGATGCCAGGGCTGTTGAGTATGAGATTCAATATCAAGAGGCGTTTGGAACAAATGTGCTGTCAATTATGGGCATACTCATTGCAGGAATGGTGAAATGAATAGTTAATGAGGCCATTTTACTTCCTTTTTTCGATAGCGTCTGTTAATTAAAGACATTTTATAATTTAAATTGTTAATTACTGTTTCCTGTTTTGGAGTGGAAAATATCTCGAGGCTCTGTAAAGCTATAGAAAATGAAATCGTCAGCCACTATCAAGATATTAATGGGTGCATTGTTAGAAACATGGCTCTATGAGCTTGATAAGGTCCTGGCCTTCCATCAGTTTGCCATCTCAAAGTTTCCTTATTCATTTTCAGTATTTCAGACACTCTATATAACCATGCATTCCTCCTGAAGGAAAGCCATTCTGCAAATGAGACTCAATTACATTGTTTATTTCATCACTATTAACATCACCAAATATATTTTTAATTCAACACAGTCTTAAAAATGCATAGGGAACCCTGCAAAAGGAATGCATGGGGAAAGTTATCATGCAAGGAAGGGAACAGGTAGCACTTAAAATAAGCACTCTTTATCGAAAGGAGTACACTGGAACATAAGACGTCAGTGTCACAAATGTGCCACATGCTGCATCTCTGCTTATCTCAGGCTTGATAGATAAAGTCATCATTGGAAAAGAAAAAGGACACAAACACAGGACACCTTGAAAAGGACTTTCAGTTGGCATCAAATTATTCAGAGGGTATAGAAAAAGCTGCTCTACACTTGGAAAACCTGCTTAACACTTTCAGTGCTACTGAGTGGTGTCATTTACACATGTATTTATTCATTGTTCAAGTGCATTTTAACAACTGATAACAGGTTTTCCTAAAGTTAGTCTATGTCTTATCAAGAAAGTTTTATCTTAGAGTTAGCTTAAATTAGAGAGATTTGTTTAAACATCTGCACTTATCTTTCTGCTTATTCACAGACATAATTATTTGCCAGATGCACTTAATTTTCTCTTTCACACGGATGAACTGATAATGGAAACAGACAGTATCCATTCCAGATTAGTGGACGAGTTTAACGAGTGACAGTGTTTCATTGAGAGTTGACTTGGAGTTTTACACAATACAGGCAACTATGCTTTAAAGGAGACCAGTGTAATGATTGCAAATGATAGAGCTTGTATTCTACTTCACGGTATGACATCCATTACATTATTGGCATTTAGCAGATGCTCTTAACCAGAGTGACATACATAGGTTACAGTTTTTTATGCTATCCATTTATACAGCTGGGTATTTACTGAGGCAATTGTGGGTTAAGTACCTTGTCCAAGGGTATAGCAGCAGTGCCCTAGTAGGGAATTGAACCAGCAACCTTTCAGTTACAAGGCTAGCACCCTAACCACTGTGCTACACTGCTGCCCCATCTAGCCATCTTTCATTAAAATTGGTTAAGAAGGACAAAAAACAGACTAAAGAGTACTTTCATTACTATTCTTCTCACATCGGATGGGGTCATTGGAATATTTGCCCAGGCAGATGTAAAAGGGAACTGTATTTGGATCAAAGCACCTAAGGACTTGATTAGCCTCAGAGATAAAAGAAACCACTGCAGGTCTCTTGTAGGCCTATATCCCTATGCACCACTTCATTTTCCTCTGCCTTTAACCACTTACTGTTTAGGCTCCCACCAGACTGAGGACAGTAGGAATTGCCGCCAGCATATGTAGAAATAATTGTTGGACGTACTACTTCCACTGTCATGGAAAAGCATTATGATAGCTCTCACCCTTCATCACCAATGATTCAGAGGCACGCTGAATTTCGAAATTATCCAAATTGGTGAATTCGACTCATTTTCATTCCTTCTGTTATATAGTAAATGATGTTTTTGTCAGAGATAGCTACAAGTGTGGACTGACTCCAGTTTCTGTGACCCTTTTGTAATTTTCCTTTTTGCAAATTTGTTGTAGGCCATCAAGAACAGTTGAACTTGAAACAACAAAAAGGCAAAGAAAGAATAAGGATGTGGTGGTGCAGTGGGCTAAGCACCCTGCATAAATTAATCAGACTGGAATTGCTAGTCAGTGCCTCCATTTTCTTAATAGAAGTAGATTGTGCTGTGATTGGCATTGTGGCAGTGTGCTAGTTTGCCAGAAGCTTGACTTTTTAGCTTCGTCTTTATAAAAATAAAACCTAGGATGTGGTTCTTTCATACATGTTATTACATTTACCTACTAGATTTAATTGCTTTGTAAATGCCATTATCTATGGTAACTGAAAACTTAAAAGCTTTAATTTATGTATTTTCTGTTTACGCTGCATACACCTGAATTTTTTTTTTTTTTCCTTGCTTAGTTATAAAAGCAGTGTCTTTTGTAACACGGTATTCAAATCAGTCACAGGTCCAGTTTCCATAACCTCTGTTCAACAATGTCATCTGTAACAAAGGTAAAAGTGTGTTTCCTTTTGTTTTACAATGGCATTCGACCTTTCTTGGTAACGTTTAGAGCACACTGCTGAGTTCCACAAGTCAGTTCAAAAGCCTCTAAAGCAAAAATACTTGCAGAGATATGGATTGTTCTCATTGTGCTTGCAGTGCTTTAGCAGAGATTTCTGTCAGTCAAGGCAGCATTTCAAGTAGGCTTGTCCCCACAGTGGAAGATAATTGCATTCAAATTGCATTGTTGCCTGACTAATATAATGGATATGGAGCCTCATTTGACTGTCAATTGCTTATCTTGTGATTATTTTCCTGATGCTGCTGTATCCATTCAGAATTAATTGGTGATCATTTGGAACTTTTACCTCAATCAAATCGTATTTTCAGGTATCTCTGGAGTTTCCTAAACTTTTTCATTTATTGAGGGGCCAGATTGCATTTCCTCATAATATTCTGACATTGTGTGAAGAAAATGGAAAAATAATTTATTTCAGCGTGAATGTGGAATTTCTGAATTGCAATTAAATTAATTGCAGTTTAAGGTATATGCACCAGTTTGTGTGCAGACCCACATGTTTTCTATCTAAGACTGTATTGCCATATGCACATTTGCCTTGAAGGGAGCTTCAGTTATTTCCTTGATTTTGACCTCAGTGGCGTATGTGAGCAAAAACCACCTTTTGCTTTCACAAGGTAGTAGGGCAAGTCGCTTCGAGGAAAGAGGTGGTGTAAAATTTGACAGCAATCACATTTATTCCCCCCTCCCTTTTTCTTCTGGGCAAAGGACTGGGAGCCCATAGTCTTATGATAAATCAAGTGAGGACATGACCTTTGCATTTGTTTGTATTGTACCAGGAGGAAGGAATAATGCCAGTCGTTTCGCTCAATTTCTTTCCATCATCTACAGTAGTAAACTATATACATATACCTCAACTGACCCCAGCTTATAGTGTATCATGTTTTGTTGCATGATGCATGGTTGTGAACAATAAATGATAAATAGGTGGTCAGACTTTCTTCATTCTGGCTCTTTTCCTGCTTACCTTCTGGATTGTGGGCTACCTGCATAGAGTTCATGAAAAAAACATAAATTTAACATAAATTCAACATGCACACTGGTGATGATCAACTTCAACGTTCAAACGTAAAAATCAGGTACACAGTGCTACCAATGAGTTTGAAAGTAATGCTGAGTGTAACTTTGAACTTCATATGTGAACACAATCTTAACTAAGTGGAAATCCAGAAGTGGGTATATGTGCATTGGTGATGACAGTATAAGCCTTTCAGATTTCTGACAGGAAGCTCTGTGACACCCAGGCAGGGAATTAGTTTTCCATTGGTCTAAACTGTTTCTCCTCAAACGTCTTTGTTTTGAGACTCGGATTACAACCCCCTCATTGAAGTTGTGTGGTGTGATCTTGGGGGGGGGGGGCATTTGCCTGTGAGCCACACATGGATGCAAACGACAGGTTTGTGTAACCACCTTAAATTAATGCAAATGTTCTGTTGGCTAGTTGCCATGCGTGCCAATCATTTTAATTGGTGTTAGAGAGGAAGAAGGTTCTATACAAATGGCTGCTGTGGTTGCTAGATAATGAGGAAATGTTGGCAGAGGGGTCAGCAGGTCTGTTGTTTGTCAGAGTGTCTCCTGGCAAGGATCAGGGGAATGCAGGAAGTTGCAGTTTTGTTTTTTGTATGTATACTTTCTCTTCAAGCTGCTGATAGAGGTGACACAGACTCCTTCCTTCTTTTGAATTAAATGTATTTTCTGCAGCAAAACTTGCACATAGCTGAACACTGCTCCACTGCTTTCTCTGAAGTTTTTTGTTGCTATATTGGAAGCTAAAGTCTTCACACTAGTATGGATATCTGTTGAGCCAGACGTTGTTACATTAGGTTTTGTAGTGATCTTAATGAGGCCAGACAAAATCCAAGTTTCCAGAGACTGTGGAACTTATTTCTAATAAACACAATAATGCAGGCTCCTTGTTTGCCACAGACTGGCATCAATTTCAGGATCTGAAGGAAGAAGGTTACATCATATTCCTCAGGGTTATTGTACATTTGTTTTGTTTCATTTTGAGGAAGAAATAATACATTGTGCATCTGTCCAAGTAGACAGCACTCTGCAAATGTTATTTGTGTAGATATTCAATTTAAAAAAGTCAAGATTTTAGCTGAAATAAGGAATGAGCCACAACCAGCTGTATCTGTTATTCTGTTGTCTGCACAAATGGGGACTCAGGGCACATACCACAGGGCCACAGAGTGCTGTCAACAGATGTTACAGGTACTTTTTCAGACCTAATTGTAATAACTGGTGGGTTGTATTGGATTATCTTAACTCAGTGGTATACTGCATAACTACACAAATGCACATATGCATAACTACACAACCCATTCCAGGGAAGTGAAATTATGTAGGTATCACAAGATTTATGTTGGCCTTTATTCAGACTGGAAATAAGGCTTTGCTGTTCAAAAGACTAATGTTGTGTGAGATGCGTTCCCCTCCATAAGAAATCGCTGCTCTACAACAGCGATGACCAGTACTTGTATCTGAACCCTTCAACAGCTGACAGAAGTTTGTTCGCTTTCCTCTGTGTCTCAAAACAGGAAAGGTGCCTTCCGAGGCTGTGAAATCCTGTCTGCAGTACATGGGTGAGCGAGTCCAAGGTGGGGGTGGGGTGATCGCTGTGGCCAGAACCGGAGACTGGGCGGCAGAGTTCACCACCGAGCGCATGGCCTGGGCGGCGGTGGACGGAGAGGTGCTTTGGTATGGTCTCAACCCAAAGGAAATGTTCCAGGAAAAACTTCCGCAGTAGTGTCTTCATCCAGCCTTAGCGAGGAGTTCCACAGTAGTATCTTCATCCTAGTTTACTGGGAAGGGTGTTAAATGCTCTTCTGCACAATTCCTACTTACAAACATGCTCTGTATTGCTGATTTATGGAGACGCTAATACCTGCATTCAGTCAAAACCACAGACTCATCGTAAGGACAAGTCAAGTTTAATTGAAAATGTATTTCAAAAAAGTGGCATCAGTGAGCTGTGAAAAAATTTCAGGCCAGATGTCATAGCTGATGAAGACAATTAACAACATAGATTGCATCCTATTGGACATGTATTTGTAAACATCCCTGCCCCCTCAGAACCTAAAGAGTTGGTTTGGTTGGAACTTCACAGACCGTTTAGATTAGCGGTGTTCTCAATATTTACAAGTCGTTAGCACATCTTACACAGCAGTAATAAGTTATTATACCATGGAATTAATAATGCAAGGTAACATACTATGCAATAATATTTCATGAAAATAAAGACATGAAAACAAAATCTTCATTACACACGATCTGAGTAAAAGACAGATGTCAATCATTCAGACAGGACATTTTACTTGAATGCTATGGAATGTTTTGGTTGCATTCTAAAACGTATATTGATGTATCTACAAGAACAACACTTGCACATCTTCTCCGTTGTTTATGCCCATATTAACACATTATCAAACAAGATATCTCAGGTAACCATTTTTTGCCTAACTACATTTTCTTGATACTGTTGCCTTTAAACCATATTAAACCCACTATTTGTACTCATTACAGATGCAATGTTATAATGTAAAATTATTCAACTACCACTGTTGAAAGACAGCTTAATTGTTGTACCTTCTTTTCACCCAACTCACTGTTTAACTCACATCTACATATCCTGCTTTCATCACTTTCATTTTCACTTACAAATGAGACATTTTTGATAAAATGGCAGGCTTGTGGAACCATTACAATGAAGACAAAAAGTGGGAATGACTATATCACCTTAGTGATTTACTGTTATAATAATGCACAAACCAGGTATGACACAGCATTCCTCAATTAATTTCACCATTCCTTCTAACCCTTTTTATTTTTATGAGTATGAGACACATTTTAATACAGGGTTAAAGCACTGGGTATTAAAAAATGTCTTTAAACTGAA